GCCCTGGCACTCCAGCCTGCAGATCAACAGGGCCAACAGTGACCTATAATGGCTGTCACCATCTGAGGAGGGACGGCTGGACCCTGATCAGCAAAGGGCTTGTGCTGACAGGGCTCCTGCTGACAGGGTAGCTCTGCATGTACCCGTGCTGAGCTGACCTCAGTCTTTCCATCCTGCTCCACCCCAGGTGGACCCTGGGGCTCGTAGGTGGAATCCACCACAGAGCAGGTGACACAGGCAGGAAGTCCTAACCCTGGCGGTGCCCCCACCATCAACCTTGACTCCTCTACCAGCAGTACAGAGCTAGCTGAGATCCTCACTTGCAGGCAAGAAAGGTGACAATGGCTGCCACCAAGCCACCAAGCCCATGAACCTTACTCCTCCATAAGGGACAGGCAGGGGTGTCTGTGCCCCAAGGGTGCCACAGGGAGAGAGTTCCTGTCTCTCAACCCTTTCACAGGCTCATTCTCCCAAGTGCCTCCCTGGCTTTGCAGTGTTGCTCCTTCTGCCCTTCAGGCAAACAAGCCCCAGCTCAAATGCCACCTCCTCCCAGAGGGCCTCCTGCTTGCATCTGGTATCAGTGTCTCTGCTCCATGTGGCTGTGCTTAGTGCTCCCTCCCCAGCCCCATCACCCTAGGCATGAGAGCCTCCACCCCCTCCTCAGCAGCTCCCCCAGAGCACATGTGGCACTGCACCCCCACCCCCCACCTAATGACACGCAGGAGGGGCTGGTAGAATGAATGAACGAACAAAGGAGTGAATGAGTTCCAGGGGTGGCAGGCAGAGGCTGGGTTATCAAGGAAAAGAATAATTCTGCCCCTTATCAGGGATTTGGTTTTTTCAGCAATATGGTGGGGAGAAAGACAGAGAAAGTTTTAGCTCCAAACAGGAAATGGCTGTGAATGTTTGGGGACACGCATGCAAGCTCTGGAGAAAGCAGGGAGGAGGGAAGAAAGGGGCTGACAAGCAGGCAGGTGGGCTCTGGGTGCACGGACTACAGCAGGGTCCAGCCAAGTGGTCCAGTGGCTGAACAGGGCTTGCTCTCTCTGAAGCAGGCATGGTGGCTGGCTGGGCCACCTGGGGCTGGCCTGAGGATGGGAGATGGTGATGCCCAGGGGGGGGCGGGGGGGGGAGGCGCAGACAGCAGACACCTGGCCAGACTGTGGGACCTGGGCTGGCCCTGAGAGAGGCTCATGGGGCTCCAACTGGAAGAGCGATGCCCTGGCTTGGGGCTTTTCCTCATGCGGCAGGTGGGAGTTCAGCACAGGGAGGGGCTCGAGGATCCCCTCATGTGGGAGGGGTCTCTGGGTGGAGGATGAGTCAGTGGCCACCTGGCACCCAGGCTGAGGCTCCTGTGACATGCTGGCCCCTGGCTGACATGAGGGAGGGGTGACCTATGGGTGGCTACTCTCTCTGGAGGCCACCTGACCCCTTGTGCTCCCTCTCTGACCGTGACAAAGGCTTTCCTCACACTGGGCTGAGTACCTCGAGTAACCCTAAGGGCCTCAGCACTTCAGGATGGGGCTTGTCTGCCAGACCCTGGGGCAGTCCTCAAGTTAGCAGTTTGTCCTCTCAAAGGACAGGGGCCCCCTCACAGGGCCCAGGCCAGGGAGAGTGTCCCTGGGGATGGAGACTGGACAGGTACAAGAGACTCCTGAGCCAGCGCCTGGGATGCACAAACACTCTGTCTACCCCATTTCATCAGGCCCCGCCCCTTGAGGCAGAGGCTGCCCAGGTTGTCCCACACACAGCCGGGGAAATGACACATTGCCAGGTGAGGGCTGGGGTGCTGGGGCTGGTTGGGTTTGGGGAGGAGGAGTTGGTAGACCAAGGAAGCCAGCCGGTTTTGTCCAGACATCAGGATAGGAGGGGGAGGTGGGGCCAGCACTAGCAGAAGGGGCGCTGTCAGAGAACACTGGCAGGATGGAATGGATAAGATCTCCCCAGGAAGCCAGGAGCAGGACAGATGACGGGACCTTGGACAGGGCTGGGGGATGGGAGTGGCGAGCAGTGGACACAGTGGACATCAGGCCATAGGATCCAGTGTGTGCGCTCGTGTGCAAGAGGTCACTGTGGAATTGGAGAGGACTGGGCGGTGGGGAAGGGGAGAGGGAGCTTCCAGTTGGGGCAGTGCCCTGAGAGGTGCAGGGGTCCGTGCAGAGCTGAGCTGGGTAGGCCTGTGGGCCCAGGAGGGGCTTAGGAGGTGGGCTGTGACTGGCAGATAGGGGGGAGGAAACGGGCTCCCCCAGAGTGAGTTTAGTCACAGCCAGGGCTGGTGTGGCTGAGACAGAGGGCTGAGGGTGAGACTGGAGCAATTAGGGGGAGGGTACGAGGGAGGACTAAGGCAGGTGGTGCCTTGACCTGTGCACTCACCCAGCTGCAGGATTAAGACGGCGGCGGCCAGCAGGACCCCAACGTGGAGCTGCATGTTCTCCCGGTGAGGATGGGTTCTCGGGTGCAGCCTGCCTGGGCTGGCTGCCTTATACCTGCTTGCACCCCGCCCTGGCCCTTGCCCGCTCCCGGGCTCTGCAGGTCTGAGTCACCGGGCAGCCTGGCTTGGCAGAGGAGCTGGGCTGGGGCCCAGGCAGTGCTGGGGCGAACCTGGACCCAAAGCTGGCTAGTTGGGTGCCTTGGGGCAAGCCCTGTTTGATCCCAGGAGCCTTCTTTTCTTGTCCACAAAGTAGGGATAATCCCAGTTTACTGGTCAAGGATCCCTTAAAACAGCCTGGCATAGGGTGGACACTCAGTGCATGGGCTGCTCTCCCTTGGCAGCCTGGGATGAGGGGCTGGCACAGGCCTCCAGACACCACGTTCCCCTTAAAATGAAAATGGAGCTTCCAGCTGGGTAGAACCAGGGACCTTCATCAGTACTCTGGCCCTGGAGTGGGTTAGATGACCAGGTCTCCACTGAAGAGGCCAGAATGTCCCCACCTAGCCACTGGGCCTCCAGTCTTGTCCAGTCCCTCCCAGGACTGGGAGTGCAGAGGAAGCATGGCTGGGAGCAGCCTCTTGTGGCGGCCCCCAGAGTCCCATGATTGTCAGCAAGGTCCCAAGGTCTGTGCGGGTAGGAGGGGACAGCCCAGAGAAACACACTGAAGGAGCCATCGTCCTTCTGCTGGAAGCCGGAGGGGCCTGGGAGCCAGGGAGGGGTCCCTGTGTCTGCTTTCTGGCTGCCCGGACGGCTTGTCTACTCCCTGTCTGGGGGGCTCCTTAGGGCTGGGGAGGAGGTGCAGGCAGAAAGAGAGAGATCCTGAGAGGGGCTGGCAGATTCAGACCCTTCTCCTAGGGTGAGTGGGAAGCTGGGTCAGGAACCAGAAAGCCAGAGGCCAGGTCAGCAATGGTGGGCCAGGCCTGGTCCTGTCCCCCTCACCCAAGTCCCCTGGCCTCCCCAGGGGTTGGTGGGCCCTGGCTCTGCCTCTCCCATGGCCCCAAGAATCCTGCTGGTCCCTGCCCTGTGCCTGGGCTGGCTCTGCGGTCAGGTCAGGCCTGGAGGAGACTGGATGGCCCCAAGTTCTGGATAGAGTAGAGTGGACAGTAGTCTAGGACCACAGAGCCAGGACAACCATCCAAACTGGGCTGGAAGGTGAGGCAGAGCGCAGGCCGAGGTGGTGGGGCCTCAGAGAAGGGCAGACAGTACATCTATCCATTTATTCTGAGTGGGGGACTGAGGGCCACTCCTGGGTGCCAGGTACCGTGAGCATGGCGGGAACCACGCCTGAAGGTGGAATCCCAAGTCCCAGTCAGCACTAGGGCTCAGGTGAGTGTTAGTGCAGGTGCAGGGCCCTGGGAAGTGTCTGGACCCCAGGAAGCCAGATGGGAGGGAAAGGACATCATCCATCCACCCACCCACCTGGGGCCTCCCATGGCTAAGCCCCAGGCTGGGCATTTACACCATAACCAGCAGAGCAGGGACTATCATTCCCATTTCATCTGTGAGCAACTGAGGCCTGGAGACGTGGAGCATGATGAGCCCTAGGTCACCCAGAGCTACAGGACCAGACAAAGTGCATCCAGGAAGGCATGGCGAGTCAAGTCAGAGGAGGGGCCCGTTCAATTTCTTTTTACCTTTTCCAGGGTTTTAGAATTATGAATGCAGTTAACGTTCATTACAAAAAATCAGACACTACTAAGGCGGATGCAGCAGCAGCTGGCCGGGCCCTTTCCCCATGTGCATCCTTGAGGCCGGCACCAGGCCCAGCCCCTGCTCCTCCCTCCTGCCTGTGCCTTTTGCTGCGGTGCCCACCCGCTGTCTCCTGGTCACCGCCCGCAGCTCCAGCTGCTTCGTAGCATATTCCATGGAGAACATGTAACATCCCAGGGGGCCGCAGTCCGTTTGAGCAGCCACTCCTGAGCCGTTCAGGCTGCTCCCAGCATGGGGACACCACAGAGAGCAGCAGTGAATAGTTATGAGCACCTGGCCTACAAGGGGGCTCCTCGTTCTGTCAGTGGGGTCCCCAAAGTGGGAATGGCCACAGCCATCGCAGGCGGGGGAGGGTCAGCCTGTGGGCTCTGTGGCTCTCCACCATGCCCACCCCACCACATGCCCAGCCGTGAGGCTGGACACCCTAACTCTAGCACTCAGAGGCTGTGAAACTTCTGGTCCCAATCTCCCCCTCGGCTTCCTGATCTAAGCTCTTACAATCACCATGTGTACAAACCCACCTTCCCCTCCCAGGTTTCTGGGCGCAGAGCCTCCAAGGCTGGAGAAGACTACATAGCGGGGCAGGGGTAGAGGTGTGCAGGGAGGCCAACTACTTCACCTCTCTGCCTCTGTCAGGGGGCATGACAAAGGTTTCACCTTGCAGGACTGCTGCAGAGTGCTTATAGCCATGCTGCAGTGGAGTGGACCGATGTCACTCATCACCACCATCAACACAATCAGGACAGTGGACCAATGTCACTTGTCACCACCATCGATACAATAGGGACAAGTTTACTGGTTTGATTTCTGCTGGCACAGCCATTCCAGTTCTCTGATTTTGCAAAGCCATGCACTTTCCCCTAATCAGCCTGGCCCAGCATAAGTTGAGCACCTTCTGTGTACTCTGGGCTAGGTATCCAGGGTAGGCCAGCCAGGCAGAATCCTGTCTGGGGGTGGAGGTGAGGCGGGCAGCCCTGTTCCAGGGCTGGGGGCAGTGTTGTCAGCACAGGGCTTGGACCAGGTTGGGTTTGGAGAGGTGGACAGATGGATGCAAGAGGCAGGTGTGAGAAGCTGCCCCGCCAACACCCCAGCACTCCTAGCTCCTGTAGGTCCTTGTTTTCACTGTCCTGGAGCCCACAGATGAACTAGGCCTCCTCCCCATTACCCCACAACAGAAGGGAGAGAGGGAGGACCTGATCCTGGGGCTCCTCCCAGCTCTGGCTGAGGGTACCACCTGTCAGGACCACAGACTTGCACAAGCAGGGTAATGACCAAGCCCCAGGCCCCTCCCGCTGAGTCAGGAGCCATCTGGGGCTGGAGCCTCCCTCTCAGCCAGCACCGAGGCCTGTGCAGGCTGCGGCTGAGGTGGTCTTGTCTGATCACCGCCCCAAGGCTGACCACTTGCTGGTGGGTATTTTGTGGGAGCTCTGGGGTGGTACCTGGCTTACTCCCAGCCTCCCCCAGGAAGGGGCTCACACTCAACTGGGCCCCAGGGAAAGGGTCGGGCCCACTCACTGGAGAGGTGGGGGAGGGGGGAGTCTAGGACTGCCATGCATGCCTTCCAACCTCCTGGCCTTGTACAAAGCCTACACTACCTCTGGAAAGTCAAATGTCCCCCACTCCTGGGCTCCTTCCCAAGTAAGTCCCCTCTGCCAGAGATCCACCCTGTCCTCCTTGTAGGTGGGCCCTCAGCTAAGAACTCCACCCTCCCATCCTTCCTCAGCATCCTGTCCTCCAGAGGAGGAAACTGAGGCCGGAAAACTGTCCCCAGCCCAGGCCTCTGTGAGGAGCTCTGCCACATGTTCCCTGAGTCCCTGCGAGAGGGGTCCCCTGGCCTGGAAACCCTCATCCCCCAAGTATGTCCTGGAGAGGAGCTCTCAAGTCACAGTTCCAGCAGGGCTGCCCTGGCATGGGCCACGAGTGGGGCTAGGAGCAATCGCAGCACATGGGCATTTGCCACCCTCCCACCGCTTCCCCAGGCTGGGCCAGCTAAGGCAGCCAGCTGATGGACACCAGTGCTGGGGGGCACTGGCCAGGTGAGGAAGCCTCAGGTGCTGTGGGCATCATGATGTCTCAAGCCCATCTGGCCTCTCTCCAAGTAGGACAGGCACTCCCTGGGCTACCCACATCCAGCATGGCAGGCAGGGCAGACCTGTGCCTCCCAGACCTGGGGTGGTGTCTGTGAGAGTCTCAAGCTGGAGGGGGTGCATGAGCCATGGTGGAGCACCAGCAGTCCCTGTGGTTGAAGTCAGCCTGCGGTTGAAGAGCTAGGCAGGGTCTCGGTCTGAGCGGCCCAAGAGGACACCACGGTCTGGCTTCTCTGAGCCTGCACAGGCTGCCCAACCCGCTGAGATTAAGGACCATGCCCTAGGGGCCCACTGCCCTGCCCCCCTCCTCCCTGCCCGGAATAGCCCTGGCCCTGGTCCGCGGTCAGCGTTCAGACCCCACCAAATATAGCTCGGCCACTGCTCCCACAACCCTGCCAGCCTCAGGCCCAGTGCCCGGTGGGGCGATGTGGAAAGGTCAATGTGTGTGAGTCAGAGGGCACAGACCCCTGCTGGACCCCAAGAGCCTCTGAGGCTAGAGGGGTCCCCCGTCCCCTGCCAAGGGCTGCTCCCACACCAGACCTGGCCCGAGTTCCTAGGACAGGCAATGAGGCAAAGGCTTTCCTCATCTGGCCCTCCATCCCACAGCTGCCCTGGGTGGCTGCTGGCCTCAGCAGGAAGCAGAGACAGCCCTTCCTAGGTCTGGAAGAGCCCTTCCTCCTAGGACTGCACCCTAAGGTCTGCCCAGAGGGTGGGGTTTGGCCACAGCTCCCATCAAATTAGCATTCCTTGGCTGGCTGAGCCCCTCACCAGAAATAATACTTTGCCAGATACTTCTAGCCCTGGACAGAGGAGGGCTCATGCTCACCCACCAATGCCAGACACCTCTGGGAGGTCCAGTTCCACACACCAGTTCCCACACTGAGAGATCCAGTCCCACACACCAGCCTTTTGAAAGTGAAAGGTCAAGGCTGCCAGATGAGGTCCCCTGGGTGGTTGCAGGAGGTCAGAGTCCTTTTGCCAACAGTCCTGGACCCTGGGGGTAGCTGGGGGGGGGTTCTCCTGGAAGGTAGAGAGTTGGGTGGGGTATGCAGGGTGAGAGGGTACAGCTGTGTCTCTCAAGAGTTTTGTCCTTGAGAGGGTCTGCCTGGGGTCCCAGGGCTTAGAGCAGGCCCCAGAGGGTGGCTAGGAGTATGGGGGCCAAGGCCAGGCCCCCCAGGGCAGTGAAGCTGGCACCGTTACAGAGGTCGTACTGGCAGCAGGAGGTGGTGGACGCATGCTTGGAGTAGCCGTCATACACAGTCTCAAAGCAGCTGGGCACGCATGACTTGCTCACTTTCATCCTGGTCGGGGTGTAGTCTGCAGAGAGGAGGGAGATGGGCTAGCTACTCTGAGAAGGGTGGGACCTTCCAGTTGGCCCAACCCCAGCATTCAGGCCCTTTAGGGAAGGGCTCCCTCAGCTGGAAGCTCCTTCTTCAGACTCCCCACATGCTTGGAGGCAGGCAGGGCCTCCCCTCCTGCTCCCCAGGCAGAGCCCAGGGGGCTCCCACAGACTTACAAGTGCGCGTGGTCATGCAGTAGGCGACCATGGCCGGGCAGCGCATGGGGTTGAAGCAATTGTCTCCATTGTAGGCACACACATGGCAGTCCAGGGCCTGGGCTGGGCAGGAGGAGTGGGGAAGGGTCACAGACCATGGCGAGGCCCCCTTCCAGCCCACCAGACCCCCAGCCCATCACCTTACCCTGGGCAGGATGGCTGGCAGGAGAAGTGGCCACTGGGAACCCTGGCCTCCTTTCCCATTGCCAGCCTGCTTGCCCCTAAATGTAGGTCTGTCCATCCCTCCATCCTGGGTCCATCTTACCCAGAGGTAGGCCCACCAGGGCCACCAGGAACAGAGTGAGCAAGGCCGCCATGGCTGGAGGCGAGAGGGCAGCGTGGGAGTGAGGAGGCCGGCAGCAGCTGGTCCTGGATCACAGAGGAGGTGAGACTGCCCCCTGCCGTCCTGGAGCTGCTGGTCTACTGTGGGAGCTGCAGCCCTACACAGAGGGTGGCAAACACATGTGGTCAGTGCTGGGCCTAAGGAACCGACAGGGGGCCTGGACAGGGGGCCTGGACAGGGGGCCTGGACAGGGGGGCAGGAGGGCAGAGGAGTCATCTAACTCAGTGGGTGTCAGGGAAGGTTTCCTGGATGAGGGGGGACTTAAGATAGGACAAGAAAGGAGCAGAGGTTGGAGTATTCCAACCAGAGACCAGTTCCTGCAAGAGTCCAAGACAGCCCATGAAGATTGGAGGAGAATGAGGGGCGGGGCTAGAGAAGGGGGTGGGTGGCGTCAAAGGGACGCAGGAGGGTCCCTGAATGCCAGGCTAAAACCAGAACTTCACCCAGGGGATGATTGGTGCAGGGGCCCTCTGGGAGCCTGGCTCACAGCCCCCTCCTCAGGCATGGCCCCAGGTGCCGGGTGGCTGGCCAGGGCAGGACTGGCCCAAGGCCGGGATCTCTTCTCACTGCTCCTCCTCCCCTGGGCTCCAGGGGGGTGTCCCTGCATGGGGCCCCTTCTCCCAGGAAGGTCTCCAGAGCCCTGCCTGGGCCTCTCAGGTCTGAGTCCCTGGCCACTGCGGGAGCTCCCGAGACAGCCAGAAGCTGAGTTCAGCCGTGGGGAAATGCGCTTCGAAGGCATCACGGGAGGGCACTTGGGCAAGACAGGAAGAACTTCCCAGTCTGAGTCTGGTGTTTGGGATGGAGATGCCCACCCTCTGGGAAGGCGTTTGGAGTGCAGGGATCTGGACCGGCCCCATCCTGGGGAGCTAATTAGACTTACCCCTTCCTGGGAACAACAAATCCTCCATGACCCAGTTCGCGAGCGCAACCCCCCAGAAGTAGAAGGCCTGCGGCTGCAGCGCTTCCCGCCCCCTCTCCGAGAGCCCCGCCCCAAAGACTGCGGACCTCGCTGGAGGGAGGGCTCTCGGCTCGAACTGGGGATAGCGGTGACCTCGCCAGTGACCTTCACCACCTACCACACTGAAGCTCCAGTGCCTGGGACTCACCCGTGGCCGCGCGCCGGGCTCTCCCTCTATCTGCCTGTGCTCCGTTAGCGCTGCAAGCAGCGCCCGCTCCGCATTGCCTTCTCGCGAGCCGGGGCAGGTTCTACGGGAGGCTCCGCCGCCCCGCGCGACTCTCCTGCAGGCCCGCCCCGCCCGCCCTAGGGATGCCACGGCGGAGATCTTCCCTCAGGCCCGCCCCGAGACTGCCCACCCAGGGAGAAGCACCCTGCAGGCCCGCCCCGCGCGAGCTCCCCGCAGGCCCCGCCCTGCTGGCCGGCCTAGAACTAGGGGCACCCCCACGCGGCCCAGGCATCAGGACCCAGACGCAGGCAACCCGCAGTGACACCCTGGAGACCCTCAGACGCACGTGCTCCGCCCGGACACGTCACGGACAATCTCCACGCGTCCTGTAGCAAATGCGCTCAAGCGGGATCCTCCCCGCGGCCGCACTTCCCATGCAGCACGCCCGCGGTTTAGTCGCCCCCAGCCCACAGCCCCCCTTGTTCCTCCAGCGTAGCTCACACAGGCGGAGCGGCCCGGGCGCGGCGGCTCCCAAAGCTAACCTGGGGTCCTCACCTGACAAAGCAAGCCCTGACAGCCTCCGCTGTTTCGTGGACCCCTCCCACCATCATAATAACAATATGAAATAATTATTTACTATAACTTTAAATATCTCAGTTTTTGTTCTGTTTTATGGAAAATTTAATAGATTTTGTGGGTCCTAAATGTTCATTTTTTTCCAATGTGAAAAAAAACCAAAACATTTTCTTTTACCTAAAAGTAACATTTTCTTTTAAGAGAGTCATAAAATTTTTGTGGGCCGAGGCCCAGACCCCAGCGCCTACTAGGTGAGTGGGCTCCGGTTCCGGTTCCGGGAATCCCTCTATCACAGACAAACCCGGACAGTTGCTTACTCTGTTGCCAAGTGGTGGCGCGCGTCCCTCTGTGTCGGGTGGAGGTACAGCGGGAATACAGCGGACAAACGTTCCCAAATATTCCTGCCCGCATGGACCTCACACTCTATTTTGAGGGAAGGGACGTACAATTAACGCCAGGTCAAACCAGAGTTTGTCATGGGCTCCACATCACACACGATGGATTAACGGGAACTGGATTTACCGTCCTGCTTAAACAGCAAAATTGGGGCAAAATATACAAGTAACATTTTTTCAGAAATTAATTGAGGCAGCACGGGCAGTAGGAACAAAGGAAGCATGTTACAGAATGTACTACGGTGAGGGCGGGATGCCTACCCTCTGGGAAGGGTTTTGGAGTGCAGGGATTTGGACGCCCACTCTGAGGCCGCTAATTAGACTTCTCCCTTCCTGGGGGAAGGGGGAACAACAAATCCTCCGTGACCCAATTCCAGAGCGCTACCCCCAGGATGCAGAAGGCCTGAGTCAGGCGGGGCCTTCGGCCCTGGTGCTCCCTGCCCCTTCTCCGAAAGCCCCGCTCCAAAGACCACCAGAGTCCATAGTCTCCCAACTGGACGTACAAAGCAGAGAATTCCAGGAGACTATGGCAGCTAGAATTCACAGGGCAAGAGTCTGGAGAGAGCTGTCTAGAGAAAAGAGAAAGATTCAGCTGAGTACCCATCAGTGAGTGCATGCACTAGAGGAACCTACACCCAAACTGCAAAGAACCAAATGTGCAAATAACCCCCAAAGCTGCAAGGAGCAGCAAAAACAGTTCCCAGAGCTCACACTGGCTGGGAAGAGTTCATCCGTGTGAACTGGGAGGACAGACATCATATTCCATGGGCCATCCAGCTGAGTGCTCAGAAGGGAACTGCCCGGACAGTGGAGCCAAGCCAGCCTTAGGTTAAAGAGCATACTGGTTCCAACTAATGGAGCTTAAAAGCCAGCCTTGAAAGGCTCTGATTGTCTCCAAGTCACTTAATTACATCCCGGAACAAAACTCAAAATTACTTAAACATATACTCTCTCTCTCTCTAATACTATACTATATATATATTATATTGTATATATATTCTCTCTCTCTCTCTATATATATATATACATATATGTATGTATATCCAGCACCCAACAGTACACAATTCATTCAATTGAATGCCTACCATTTATTACACATCACCACACATGCAAAGAAGCAGGAAAATGTGACCCTCAATGAGGAGAAAAACTGATCATTAGAAAAAGACCCAGAAATGACACAGATAAAGTATTAGTAGGCAAAGATATTAAAACAGATATTGTAAGTATATTTCATATGTTGGAGAAAGTAGAAGAGAGCATGAACATGTAGAAGTTTTTTTTTTTTTTAAAGATACAAACCAAACTTCTAAAGATGAAAAGTAGATTTGAGATGAAAACTGTGCTGGGTGGGATTAACAACAGATTACACTGGAGGAGACTAGTGAACCTGAGGACACAGCATTAGAAATTACTGAAAGGAATCACAGAAGAAAAAAGACTGAAAAAATTAATAGAGCATCATGGAGCTACCGGACTACTTCAAGTGGCCCACTATGAGTCACTGAAGTCCCAGAAGGGAACGAGAGGATGAAAGGAAAAAATATACAGGGAAATAGTGGCCAAAATGTTTTCAGACTTGATGCAAACTGTAAACCCATGGAACCCAGAAACTCAATGAACCCCTAAGCATTAGAAGTATGAAAAATACCACACCAAAACACATCATAATTAAATTGCTTACAACCAGTGACAGAAAAATGTTAAAACAGACATATATACAGAGCATCAAAGGATGGCAGCAGAGTTCTTGTCAGAAAAAATGCAAGCTGACACAATGACATTGTGTTTAAAATACAAAAACCCTGTAACAGAAAAATAAACAAAACCACACCTGTCAATTTGGAATTATATACCCAGCAAAAATAAAGGCGAAATAAAGAACTTTTCAGATATACAAAGGCAAAAAAAGTGCACCACCAGCAGACTGGCAATAGAAGAGATGTTAAAGGAAGTCCTTCAGGCAGAAGGGAAGTGACACTACATGGAAATAAGAACCCATGCCAAGAAATGAAGTGCACCAGAAATGGGATTTATAAGGTAATTTTAAAAAAAATTTGAATCACTTTATAAGATAATTGCTTGAACCCAAAGTAATAACAATGTATTATGGAATTTCTAGCAAGTGTAAAGTAACTGTATGATCACAGTAACACAAACAGACCAGGAGGGGGAGAGTGGAAACACACTGCTGCAAATATATTATACTATTTGTGAAATGGGATAATATTTCTTGAAGGCAGACTAATAAGTTAAAGATGTATACAAAAACACTAAATACCACTAAAAAAAGAAAGGCAGGAAAAATCTATAAGCTCTAGCTAATAAATCAACAAAGGAGATAACATAGAATTATAAAAAATTAGCCAGTTACAGGAAGGCAGAAGAAAGAAAAAGGAAAAAATAACAGATGGGACAAATAGAAAACAAATAGCAAAGTAATAGAGTTAACACACCAATAATGACACTATGTGGTCTAAACACCTCAATAAATAGAGGTTGTTCATATGGGATAAAAAGAGAAAGAGCCAAGAAACTTACGGGATATATAAAAACACAAATAGGTTTAAAGTAAAAGGATGGAAAAAGATATGCCGTGCTGACATCAGTGAAAAGAAAGCAGGAATGACAACATTTATATCAAAGTAGGTTTAGAGTGAAGAACAGAAAGAGGGCTATTACCAAATGATAAATGGGTCTGTTCATGACAAGGACACAGCAATCCCAAATGCTCATGCACCTAACAATTAAGCCTTAAAATACACAAAGCAACAAACAATGGCTTATAGAGCAAAGAGGAGAAAAAGAAAATCCCTGATAACAGTTGGAGATTTCAACACTTTTCTCTCAATAAGTGATGGAAGTAGACAAAAAATCTGTGCAGATGAAGACTTCAACAACACTACCAACCAGTGTGACCTACTGATAATATAGGACACCACCCCTCAGAAGGAAAGCCCACCTTTATTAACCGAGAGCATTCACCAAGATTTATCATATTC